GATCTTTAACAACAAAACAAATGACCTTTAATAGTAAACTAAATGATTTATAAGAATAAACTAAGCGATCTTTAACAGAAAACTAAATGTTCTTTAGGAGCAAACTAAAACATCTTTAAAAACAAACTAATCGATCTTAAGGAACAAAATCAATTATCTATCAGAACAAACTAAGCGATCTTTATGAAAAAACTAAGCGATATTCAACAACAAAATAAGCGATCTTTAAGAAAATACTAAACGATTTTTAATAATAAACTAAAAGATCTATACAAATAAACTAAATGATTTTTAAGAACAAACTGAATGATCTTTAAAAACAGCTAAGTGATATTTAAGAACAAAATCAATGATCTTTAAGAACAAACTTAACCATCTTTATGAACAAACTAAACGATCTTTTAATAACACAAACTTAGCGATCTTTAAGAAAAAACTTAGCGATCTTTTTTGAACAAACTAAATGATCTTTAATAACAAGCTAAAATATCTTTTTAAAAAAACTAAGCGATCTTCAAGAACAAACTAAGTGATCTTAAAAAACTAAATAAACGATTTTTAACAACAAACTAAGCGATCATGAACAAACTAACCGATCTTTAAGAACAAATAAAGCGATCATTAATAAAAAAACTGAACGATCTTTAACAACAAACTAAGCGATCTTTAAAGAACAAACTAAACGATCTTTAACAACAAGATGTTATATTAGATGTTTATTTATTAATATTCACGATTATCTCATTTTTTTATAAAAAGAATGTAAATAATTAGACTTTTCCCCATCATTTTCGATGTATGCAGAACGAATTTCAAAATATCTAAATATTTCATTTTCGGCTTCGGTTTCGGTTTCGGCTTCGGCCGAAAATCATTTTTAACTTTCGGTATTTTTTCGGTTTTGGCCGAAAGTAATTTTTAAACTTTCGGTATTTTTTCGGTTTCGGCCGAAAGTCATTTTAAACTTTCGGCCTATTTTCGGCTTCAGCCGAAATCAGAAAATCACTTTCGATCGGTCTCTAGTTGGGAGTAACGTTCAATGTCATTGAGATTCTCATGACGGACTGCAAGTGTTCACCAGTGAGGCGACTCCTGTGTGATGTTTTGTTAATCTTCATCACAGAAAACAGCTGCTCACACAAATATGTGCTACGCAACATGCTCAAGATTCGAGCCGCATGTAGACGAAGCTGGGGCATTTCTTCAGGAATGAAACGAGTGACATGTACAGGCCCAACTGTGTCGTACTTTGCCTTTAGTGTCCCATTACACTGCAGCTCCATCTGCAAAATAGCTGTTAATATCATCCTAGTTTATACGTCCTCTTCTGTTGGAGATTTTAGCACACGGCAGGACAGTTGCCGCCATGGTATCAAGCATAATCGCTAGTTATGCTGTCGTGCATGATCTAGTTACGCTCTGGTTCAATGTAAGATTTCGGCGTGAGGCTGTATGCTTAAACTAGAGTGACCAAACGTTCCGTAAAAACGGGATCGTATCCGGTGTCCCGAAAAAGCTTCTCGGGACGCCTAAAGTCCCGTTTTTATAGCCAAACATATTTCAAATCAATAAAACTTCCTAATTTATAAATATAACTTCAAGTAATATTTTGGCTAGCGGTGTAGCCAGTGCCAGCATTGATGTAGGCTCGCTTGATGCCTGCAATGTTCCCCCGCCACCACTCTGCTGACTCTGCGTAAACGACATTGTCTCTGCCATAGAACTTATACGTATAGCGAAAGACACGAGCAAAAAAAAAAAGGGGGTGGGGGGGGGCGACAAGTAACTGCGCAGAAACCAATTTTGATTCTGCTACCGCTACGTGTAATGAAGTGAAGGCAAATTTAAAAGATTTCTAGGTATCAAAATAGTTCAAATGAACACATTTCAATAGTTTCCGGCGGAGGCCCCCAACCCCCTCTATAACTGGAGGGTATCCCCCCCCCCCCAAAACCCTNTTGCCACGAGTAAATCTGACGGACTTCACGGGAGCTTAAAACACTGCCTGCTATTGGTAACATAAGTCATTATTTATAGCTCGCCAGACATTGACGACAGCCATGCGTGAACTTCCCACCTACTAAAGTTACTTGACAAAACATGAATTCAAGTAACGCACAATTAAGAATCTCATTTTGCTACGCCCCTTTCACACCCCCCCCCCCCAATGATACGTCATTGCACACTTTTTATTTCATGCCCTTGAACTATATTACATAATCTGTTGTCCCAACCACTTTAAAACTGAATACTTATCACATCATATTGAAATTGAGATGATTTTATTTTCCGAAAAGAAAACATTACGCACCAAACGCAGTTGCATTATTTATTTTTGTAATTTATCATTTAGCGTAGTTACAGGAATTATATTTTGCGCGCTATTGAACTCACTATTGAACCATACTTTCTTTCAAACATATATATAGAATTATTTGTAATATAATCTAAGTACCAAATTTGCTGAATAGGAAGCAGCCAGCTCGTTAGGAACAAGCCCGAAATGGAAGTAGTCCACGAGTCACACCAGAAGCGTAATATATATCAGAGATGAGCAGAAATCTTCCATTACTAAGACTTACACCTAAGAAATGTATTCTACGAACACAAAGGGGATAAAAGGCGCGTGACCTAGTCGAGCGTCAAAAGGAGGACGGAGGGCGACGACAATCCAGGCTCTCCATGATGTACAAGATAAATAATGGGCTGGTCCACTGTTCCAGTATTAAACAGAAACTCGTCCCTCTCCCCCATAGACAGCGACGAGGCCATGACAGGCAATTCAGGCTCTTACCAGCAAGTAGCCAGTATATGTGTCTATTGCCTCAAGCCTTCAAACCCCTAGTGCATGATTCCCTCACAAAGTGGCACTGGAAATCAGTGAAATTTCCTCATCAACACCAGGAACAGAAACATTGCAAATCCCATCTACATGCATAGGAGCCAAAATGATCAATAAATTGATCGTGGGCCCTTAAGATATAGAAGAAGAAGAAGAAGAGTATTACAAAAGAGGCGCGATCAGTGTTTCTTTCAGACAATTTCCTCCGGGGGTGCGGGGGGAATGGGCATCTCAGATTTTCGGGTGGGTAGTGTCGGTAGCCTGAGGCGTAGCTAAGAGGGGGTGAGGGGGACAGACGTCCCCGGATGCCAGACTAGCGGGGTTGCCAAAATGGGCTTTAGTGGTATTAGATGGATGACAAAGTGGACATCAGAGTTGCAACAAGGGGTAAACATGAATCTTGTCCCCTGGTGACAAACACTGTGGCTACGCCTCTGTCCGTGGCTACGCCTCTGTCCGTGGCGTAGATTAGGGGGCTGATGGGGTGGTTTGCCCGGTGTCACTATTTTTATATGGAGGGGCGGACGACTGCAGAGTTTGTGTCGTGAAAGGGGGTGCGGCAACAATCTTGGGCCAACCATAGCGACACTGATACTAGCTACTATGTCACTAAGTAATGTATTTATCGGCACCAAAATTGGCGATCGACTCATCGGAAAGGGGAGCAGAAATCGAGGGCACTGATGGCCAGAAATGTTTTGTACTATACCCAACTTCACTGTTTCTATATTAAATGTATTGAATGTATTTTTAAAGTGACGGGGGGGGGGGGGGAGGGGGATTATGGCGCCGGGAGCCACACATAAACTGAATTCACTCCGATTGTGGGGTGCTCTAGGCACAGGCTTATGTTCAACCCCGTCCTGCTGTAGGGTCATCGGATACCTTAGGGGCTTATAACTGTAATGTGGACAATATTTTAATTATCACCCTTGAATGCAACGTTTTTGTTGTTGTTTTGTTTTTGGGAGTGGGAGGACAAAACCTGAAAGTGGTCGAGTGCCTCGAAAAGTCAAGCGACGGCTCTGCTTGACCTTCTTGTGCTATACAAATATATTTTTTATATTACTAAATTGTAATGTGGCTTTTATTATTTTAGTTTAGGCATGTTTGGTATTAACTACTTAATTGATAATGAATATTTAAAACAACAAAAAAAAAATAATAAAAAAATAAATAATCAGAGGCAGCCAATTTTCGGAACAGTACGCTTTTAAAAATCGAACATTGCAAGATTCTAACAAGATTAGTCTTAAATTTTTTTTAAAATGACAATTTATGGTTTTTAGAAAATACATTTTCCTTTTCTGGTTGAACACGTATTGATGTACACGTTTTTTCTCGGGGGGGGGGGGTGGACACTTGACTTGCTAGCATGGGCGCCCGCAGAAAACTTTCTTTGGGGGGG